CACAGATCAAGCCCTGAAACAACCTCTGGGCTGATCTAGGTCAGGGCATGGCTAACTCACAGATAGAACCCTGAAACAACCTCTGGGCTGATCTAGGTCAGGGCATGGTTAACTCACAGATCAAACCCTGAAACAACCTCTGGGCTGATCTAAGTCAGGGCATGACTAACTCACAAATATAACCCTGAAACGACCTCTGGGCTGATTAAAGTCAGGGCACGGCCAACTAAAAGATTCAACACTGAAACAACTTCTGGTCTGATCTTAGTCAGGGTATAACAGTTGATAGATAGATAATTTGTAACACCGTATGGTATGTAAAAATGAAACTGACGTTTCGGACGTTAGTCTTTCATCGGAGTCAGGGTATGGCTAACTAAAGGCACAGATTCAACCCTGAAACAACCTCTGGGCTGATTAAAGTCAGGGCACGGCTAGCTAAAAGATTCAACCCTGAAACAACCTCTTAACTGATCTAAGTCAGGGCATGGCTAAGTCAAACATCGAATTGGAATTTAGGGAGGAAAACCAGACTTAAGCCAGAAAAAAACCTACAGTGAAAGGGAGAAAAACACCCTAGGAGAAACAAAGCTACCTCAAATCGATCCAGCCAATGGTCCGCGGTGTTCAAGATCAGGTAAACCTCTTCTAGGGCGGTAGTTATCCCCGGGCAGGCATCTTTTCTTGAGGCAGAAGAACCAGCAACCAACCATCAGGATAGTTGCAATGGTAGTTACGAAGACTCTGACGAAAAATCCACCTACTGCTGTCATGGCTAGTTTCCTGAAAATAAAGGAGATTAAAATTAGGAATCTATTCCTTCCCTCCTCCCTCCCTTCTCTCCCTTTCTTCCTTTCTTTTTTCTCGACTTCCTTCATGTTTCTATTGCTTTTATATATATTTTCTCTCTCTTTCGTTCCCCCTCTCATTTGAGCTGTTGAACATCATTTTCATAACTAAATATTTATAAATACCGCGCAAGGTGATATCACTAATCAGCAGACACACCAGGCAACATTGCACAAAACAAATTTTAATCGGGATTGACCCACGTGGCAACAAATTCATACAACTTTGATAACCACGCCTGCTATACTAAGGCTTTTGGTCGGCGGTTTTTGTTTTGGTGCAACCTGATTGGCTAGAAATTCCAAATATTGCAAGCGATGTTGCAGCTATGTTCACACAATTAAATTTGCTGTGCACGTTGTTGCAAGAGTGGAGCAGAATTGAAATTCTTTTTAAAAAGTTGCGCACAATGTTGAGTGCAAGTTTCAGAGATAGACAAATGCTTCAACAATCCTGTTGCACGGAATGTTGCACTGTGCATCTGCACCTTAAAAGGTCTTTTAAAATCTACAACAAATCTATAGTGGTACCCCTCACCTTTTGTATACATAGCCAACCTCACAAGCATCCAGATCATTATTATTACACATCTGGCACCACGCCTCGATGTTTCGTACTTCAAGAGACCCTAGTAACTTGTTAAACGTTTTAAGAGGACAAGCTTTTCTATCACATCCTGGTATTGCGTAATACTGAAAGGAATCCTGAAATATAAAAAACAAGAGGGCACAGTCATGGTACGAAAATGGCAGACGAAGCGCAATACAATGGTACTACTCAATTTGCAGTTAGTTTGTACGGAGGGAGGTTGGTATACAGTAATGTGGCATAGACATAGGCAGCCCAACACATGATATATTTTACAGCATATATAATTATAAAGAGGTCTCTACCTTTGTGTCATTTTCCAAGCCATTTCTAAAGGCAAGCCTCACATAGTAATCTTGATTATCTCCTTTCAGTAGTTCAAGGAATACCAGAGATGTGTAGTATGGAATAGCATAAAAAGGTAAAGTACCTATATTTAACGTCGGTAGTTCCTTCAGTTGAAATTCAACTGCTATTAATGGAAGCCGACGGTGTGCACTTTACCCCCTCTCTCCATCAGTGCTCTGTTTTAAGAGTATTCAAAGCTGAAGCTACACGGATTAGAGAGAAGTCGAAACAGACGTGGAGATCCTAAGGATTGAACCGTGGACCTCAAGCTCTGAAGGTCGCGCACTAACCAACTGAGCTACGCCTGCTCCTAGCATATATAATTATAAAGAAGTCTCTACCTTTGTGTCACTTTCCAAGCCATTTCTAAAGGCAAACCTCACATAGTAATCTTGATTATCTCCTTTCAGTAGTTCAATGAATACCAGAGATGCGTAGTATGGAATGGTTTGAAGGGTTTTGTTTATTTGATTGACTCCAAGAACTGAGAATAATGACACTATGGTTGGGTAGTGAGCTGAGTAGTACAACAACTGAAAATAAATAAAGGGGGAAAAATGAGTTGATAGAAAGAATGAGTATGATGCTTTCTCATTTTAGACCAGGTTTCATTCCGTAGAGTATCATTTTTTGCTTAAATACCTTAGCTTTTCTCCTGTTCTTAGTGGTATTGATAAAGTTCTGTGCAATGTCATTGACCAACAATCCTGCTCCCATACTTTCTACCATCTCTTTCTTGTATTTATGATACTCTAGCCAGTCAGCAAGATCCACAACTTTATTCCACTGTTCTTCTGTTAAGTTGAGGTACATTTTACCATAAACCCGATGAAGATGGATAAAGTCATATCTGATATGGAAGAAGACATTAATGGGTTAATATGAAATTGGGTCAGGGGTGGGGTGAGTCATGATGGGTCAGGGGTGGGGTGAGTCATGATGGGTCAGGGGTGGGGTGAGTCTTGATGGGTCAGGGGTGGGGTGAGTCATTTTGGGTCAGGGGTGGGGACGAAGTCATGATGGATCATGGGTGAGTCATGATGCATTGTGGGGTGGGATGGGTTATGATAACTTACACATTGTAAAAATCCTTCAAATCTATGTCACTCATGCCAGTGATACTTTCCAAAGTTTTCAGAAAATCAGCATTATCTCTCTCCTTCTTCTTGAAAGTTTCACTTTTATAAAATTCACTGATTCTATTTTGGATGGTTGGGCACCTTAACCATCCTCGAAGAAGCTGATCTTCCCTTACTGGAACTGTATGTATTGGTACCTAAAATGTTTTAAATTTATTCACCTTGAGAATCAAGATATATTTTGGTTGATAATTATTTTCTCCCCAACCGCCCGTGCCAGAGAGCCTGTTTTGCATTCTACCAAAACTCTACCATACTTACACAGAAACTTATTCAGAAAATGGTCTCCTTGATACGTGACTAAAACACATACCTGTTGAATGTCATACGGAGCTTTAAACACCCCAGCATAATTGGTTAAGGTTTGCTCTCTGGGAGGATACAGTCCAAGTAGAAAACTTTGAGCACTATGAATATTAAATATAAATTTAATTAAATAAGAAAAAATGATCTGAGGCCTAGGGCAAACGTTGAACTTTCCATGCACCGTACTTAATTGCATCAAAGAATGCCGCCTCATTATCACCTGATATCCATTGTTTTTAATGAGTTCAGAGCATGGAAAGTTCAACATCTGCCGTAGGCCTTAGTGAATCTCAGTTTTAGCAATTGTGCAGGAAAAATAGAAACAAAAATTACTTAAGCTGAAAAGACCTCTTCAAAGGTAGGAGGTAGAGTAGTAGCTATGTAGTTATTTCGACCAAGAGTTACTTACATAAATTCTTGAGAAGTTAATGAATCATATACCTTTTTTCATACGTTGGGCATATTATGATTTCCCATTTAAGAGCACATGTTATTCCCTTGAGTATCATTTCTTTGTTTAAATGATTTGCATGAGAATTAAGATACATGAATATGGATAGAACTCAAACAAAGAATCTTATTCTCAAGAGAATGACATATGGTCTGAAATTGGAAAAAACTACTTCAAAGTGTACAATTTTTTCTAGTTTATGTATAAAATATATCATAATTCATAACTTTTATTAACCTTATAAGAGTTCTTTGATAATCGCTTGACCTCACATATACTTCACTCCCATTATACCCTTCACTAAGAAAGCTTGTAGTAGTGCTGTTATAAAGCTGACGGACATACTGCCCAGCTCTGTACATTTGGTCCATTCCACGTATGGTCAATGGACTGTCTGCAGTTTCCTGTAATGTGGTGTGGTCTTTGGTTAGGAAGCCCCTGCTTCCATGCCGTGAAATAATGACAACTTGTTGAAGCTCCAGACCTAAAGTTACATGTAAAAATTCAAAAGATATCTATTCTGCATTTGGTGCCAAATGCATGGATCATGATTAGATGAAATTGCTGCCTTTGTATATAGATCTGTAGATTATTACACCTTCAAGCTAATTGTAGCTCAATATTTCATCAAAAGCAACAATTGATGGTTTTCAACCATTCCCAAGAGAATTAAATATTACAACAAAAGACACAGCGGCCATATTGGAGGATATAACAAAATAATTCATTGACAATTCTTTTATTAAATTCCTCCAACATGGCCACCATGATGACCATCAATTAATTTCAGTTTCTCATGAAAATAAAATTTCATTGTTTTTCCTTGGGTAAATCTAACAAGCAATTCAAACCCTAGCTTGTTAGGTATTAGGTTACGTGAAGCTTACCAGATGTAAGTGCAGTAGTAGATAGTAAAGTTATTGCAGCAGCAAACAAACAAAACCAACGTGACCAGAAAGCTGTCAGCAAAGGAGCAGTGGATGTAAAATACCTAAAAGACCTTGCAGATCCCATTTGAAAGCTTAAGATGATACAGTACAGTAGTTATAAGTTACAATAGTTTTACTAGGAAACAAAAAAATAGTGGTGAGCCCACAGTAACAGCTGGTCAGTAAGTTAAAAACGCGAGGAACTGAGACGAGTGACCCATAACAAAATGGCGGACGAGTTGAACACGAAGCTTTAAAGAAGAAAAAAATAGATTTTTATGTGACAATTATGGCTTTTCAACCCCATGGAAATCAAGGTAGGAGGCTTGTGTACTTGTGGTTTGAAATCGTTTTTATCTTATTTTCAAATCTTTTAATTTTGAATGTGATCTTTGGATATAGACGTCATAGCCGCCATGTTGGAAGAATTTGACAAAAGATTTTTCAATGAATTCTTTTGTTATGTCTTCCAACATGGCGGACATCCTTTTGTTATTGTGCTCTCTTGGGATCGATTGCAACCAAGAATAATTTAAAAAAAATTTTTATGTCAAACTGTTTTCTTTTGTTTCCTTTTTGTGCAGAGGTCCAAAACAGAAAGATTCTTCAAGATTTGCAAGAACGAAGAAGACAGATGATGAGCCAAGCGCAACAGGCTGTTACTGGGACCACAGGGTATAAGCTTAAACGTCGATACACAATTTGATACTTTTTTTAAATATGTAGAATGATTGGCACTGCTTCAATAATAATGATAATTTTCTCAAGTGTTTTTGTTTTGTAATAAAAGGACTAACGCAGGACCAAGTCATGTAAATAGACCAGGTCAAGAAGTTCCTGTAAGTGATCATGAATTTAAAATTATAAAATAACTATGAATCTCGTGTCTGATTGGTTGGAAGCGCATGCTTTATGAAGGCACACAGCACACTCATGCACCTTCGATCTTGTCATATGTTGTGTGCAGTTATAAAGCACTTGGGGAATGGCAGAATGGGACATCAAGTTTGTGAGTTGACTTCAAGACCGGATATGTCAGCTCTGAAGCAAATGCCATTTTGGATTTGGAAGAGCTGACGGAGAGTAGCCTGGGGACAAACCTAGGCAGAACACTTGAAAAGTGTTGAAAAGCACTCAGCTATGCTTCTCCTAAAACTTTTCTCCTGTTCTGCCAGCTGCACATAGCAAGTGCATACATTTTCTATTTCTTCATTGGTTTATAGATCTGACATTTTGGGTCACCTTTTGTTGCCATAGGTATTACGCAACCCAGGAGAAAACCACCAGTTGGCTCTAAGTCAACGACAAGCTTTAGAGGTGAGGTTTAGCTGTTCAGTTAATAACTAGTCTGACAATAAAAATACCTCCTGAGGAAAGTATTGATCTATATCACACCCATCTTCATTCCACTTGAGGATATTCCATAAATAAAATACAAGAACACTTCTTATCCGCTTACATCATCCCATGGGATGTCCAATTCTATTCTTTGGTGGGGGAGGGTGCTTAAGCATGGATATGCTTTGGAATTACTACAGTACACAGACCATGATTTTAAAAGTATTGTGTAGTTCCAGAAACTATCCATACCTCCCCCACAGAGCATTTTTTTCTAAGACCCTCCCTACACTCTGGAAATTCCAATTTTCTTCCATACAAACTCTGTAATTTTGTTCTTTCTCTGATTCCCCACACCGTGGATTCCAAATTCCTCAGTGGTTGGGGTATGGATAATCTCTGGAACTACACATTTAACATTTGTTTGTTTTTATATTCCAGCAAGCTCATTTAGTCTCTCCTGGCTTCTATGTATGTCAAGACTCATTGTTTGGTAACTTAATCATTCCTGTCATCCCAAGAGTAGACAATGATAGCTGAAATTCTGCTGGGAAAAAATAAAGATCTTTCTTCTTTGTACTGGCCCACCTCTCCCACACACAACCATTTTCCCATACTAGGAAAACAATCTTATGTATGGTGTATATAGATTAGATTATAAATATACATTTATGCACTGATTAAATAATTGGTTAAATGAAAAAAAAAACATGTTGAAGATTTTAATAATAATATTATTATTATTACAATAATTTAATCTTTAAAGTACTAAGTTTACATTTATACACTCTTATACTGTTGAATAAGTTTAATGTACAAAATGAGAGTGCATTCAGTCAAACTGTTGAATAGTTAGATAAATGTATCTAACTTAGATAACTATTTAGTTGACGTCACCTAAAATAGTAAAAGCGCGCCAAATAACAGTCATGCTAATCTGGGGGTTTGTTTTACTAGAGAATGAGTGAATAGACATTCATTTGCATCATCATTTCTCCCCCTGATCTCAGTAGCTGTTTACTCGTAGTTTCAAATTTAGGTGAAGACAGCGAAAATAGTAATTTACTTATATAATTTAGGTGACGTACACTATTCAACAGTTTGACTGAATGCACCCTAAGATTGTCCACGTCATTGGCTTTCTTCATAAACCCATGAAACAAAGTGTACTCATATAATAATTAACTAATACTATAATCAGATAAACAGAATAGAAAACAAAAGAATTAGTGTAATAGTACTAAATAAGCTAAAGCATATTTCATGGGTTTATGAAAACCACTCTATAACCAGCATACATATGGTATCTATTATAGGGTTATATACTTACAGCATATAATCATAGACACTATGCTTGCCCAACAATACAAGGGAATTAGTTAAAAGATTGCCCAGTAAATTAGATATTTGAAATAAATATTCAATATGAATCATCAGTTACTAAATTCTAGGCCTTTTAAAGTGTTCCTTGAATTTAAAGTTTCCGTTTAACTATTTCCATCTTAGAGTTTAAATGTTTATTCCAAAAAAGTTTTTCATTTATTAGACTCTTGGGTTTGCATTAATTAAATAATATGCTAGTCGTACAGTCTTTCCTCATAAAAGTCTAGCATTGACCATTCATCATTCTTTAATGGTATTTCTCCCAAATCTGATGTGATTGTTAAATGTAAAAGAATTTCAAAACCTGTTTTCAAATTTTTCACAAAATACTTCATTTTGTTAATATAAAACTGGAAGGTCTCTGCAATCGTAAATGTTCAAATGGATGAAACTTTGCTTTTAAATGTTTTCTCTAAAAATCAGAATACAAAAGTTAGAGTAATTTAAAAGGAATAGAAGATGGAAAAAAAGGTAAAGTACCTATATTTAATGTTGGTAGTTCCTTCAGTTGAAATTCAACTGCTATCGATGGAAGCTGACAGTGCGCACTTTATCCCCCCTCTCCATCAGTGCTCTGCTTTAAGAGTATTCAAAGCTGAAGCTACACGGATTAGAGAGAAGTCGAAACAGACGTGGAGATCCTAAGGATCAAACCGTGGACCTCAAGCTCTGAAGGTCGCGCACTAACCAACTGAGCTACGTCTGCTCCTATTACACTTGCAAGACCATCCTAGGAAACCTGAAGTAAACTTTGGGGTTTCCAAGGATGCTGCAAGAAAGGCTGCGAAAACATTTTCTACCCAAGTGACTTCGTAACGACAAACCACTGATTTATTCAGTTTAGAGTCTGACAAAATAAACTCAAATAGTTCTCCTATTTACATAAATATTGAAACTTTAACTTTTAAAAATTACTTATATCTGAAGTTAAGAATTTCGCCATCATTATAATAATTGTGATTAGTGAGATGCCTTGCATAATATCATTATAAAACTAACAGTGTTTGTCAGATTGAGACTTAAATTCTCCTTACTTGAATGTTCCAACATTGCCAATGTGCATTAAAGAGAATGTATATGTTCATCATAGCACAGGCTATTTACTTTTAAGATAAGTTAGAGCCAAAATAAAAATGTGGTATCAATAATTGTACATTATTCATTGTGTTTTGCATGATCCAATGCTAGGTTTCTTTAATTTTGGCCTTTTCTTGTTTGACGAGGAAGATTTCAGGTCATCTAATGAGCTGCCTACAAAGAGATGACATAATGATGTTTAAAAAATGTTTTGGGCTTCCTGTGAAAAGAAAGCCACAGGGATCCCAAATCAATCTCAATAGAACTGTTGCACTATCAAGTGGTGGCAGCCAGGTTAGATGGCAGGAACAATATGATAATAACGTTATCAACATCTGTATCTTAAAATACTGTTTCATCATTACCATCAACATTATCAGCATCATATCACCACCACCAACATCAGTGCCATAACCATCGTCATCAAAAATTTCTTTTTAAAACCTTCATTATTATCATCATCATCATCATTAGCAGCACCATATTCATCATCATCAACATCAAGTAGGTAAGAAAGCATGGGTGGTGTGCTCTGCTAATGCGCTGCCTCTCACCAATGCAACCCAGATTCGCTTCCTGGGCTTTGTGTCATACATATTTGAGTAAAGTTGTTTGTTGGTTCTCTCCTGCGCTTCAAGGGCCTTTCTTCCTGGTTCTCTGGTTCTTCCTCCCTCCACAAAAATCAACTTCTAAATTCCAATTTGATCTAATGGTTGCCTTATCAAGTGGGTTGCAAAACCTGTCAAGTTCTCTGCCCACCCTGGAGTGGGAAATCCTATTAGTACCTACCTTGTGAGAAAGCTAGTCCTTCATCATTGTATTCTTGGTTTGGAATGTCCAGGTGATTATCCTCAGAGTGTAAATCCTCTAGGTAAGGTACTACTGACATGCTACGCAGTTCATTATCATTTAATGGTGGTATAGGAACAAATGGTTCAATTTTGGGATGATTCTTTCGAAACCACCTGTGATGGCGTATTTGTTGTATAGTGAATCTCTTATTAGGGTTGGAATTTAACATTCCTGCAACAGAAGAATATTGATAGTTTGAAGTTGTCCTTCAGCAGCATATTGTACTGAACAGAAGATAATATATTAATTGTTGTCATCAAAAAGTGACAAAGAAGTAATACCACCTTAAACCGAAAATATTATTACCAGTCATCATCGTTCATCGACATCACCACTACCAGCATTTATCATAATCATAATTACCGTCACCAACCACCACCATTGTCATCATCATCAGTACATCATTCATCATAATCATCACCATCATCACCACTACCACCACCATCAGCAGCATCCGCATCATTATTGACATCAATATCATCATCAATCATCACCACTACCATCATTTTAACCTATGAAACATGACGTTACTACAGACAGATGATTGGTATTTACCTCTAAGAAGATCAGCTAATAAATCATCTACAGAATCTGGTATGCTGAACTCTCCTTTACCGATACTCTCAAACAACTTGTAAATATTGTCACCTTCAAAGGGGTAAGCCCCTGTAGTTATATTATACCTAGAATAAAATAAGATAAAAACATTAAATATGGGGGCTCTAGCAATTGTTGCTGTAAACCAATGATTGTGATGTTGGTATCCTCGTTAAAGATTATTTATTATTATTGTACAATGCAAAAATTGGAGGGAGTTATGAATGAAGATATGTTCAAAGTGAATGACCTTTTTAGCAATATCACTGAGTTGAAAATTAGAGCTATATAAGAGTACTGAAGTCTTTAACTAGTGGTGTTCATTTTTAAACTTCAAATATTAAAAAAAATAAGACAATTCAAAACTTCCAGACAAAAGTATTGAATAATCAGATGAGAATTAAGCTTGTCTTAGGCTTAACGAACTGGTCTTCCAAGGTTTYCAAGGTATAGTATAGTATACATACAGTATATATATACSAACATTGTCGTTGCTGTTTGTTAATTTAAGGTAAATTTATTAGAAATTAAAAGAAAATRAATTATCAGATGAGAATTAAGCTTGTCTTAGGCTTAACGAACTGGTCTTCCAAGGTTTYCAAGGTATAGTATAGTATACATACAGTATATGTATACAAACATTGTCATTGCTATTTGTTAATTTAAGGTAAATTTATTAGGAATTAAATGTTTTAAGAACTTACAAAGTAACTCCTGAAGCCCATATATCCACTTTAAATCCAGAAAATGTCTCTACTCCATTAGCGATTTCTGGTGGCTGGAAGGCAGGAGATCCCTGACTTGTTCTACATGTGTCGTGAGCTGTAAATGTATCTAATCTCTGAAGGAAAGGAAAGAAAAAGCCAAGCATTAAAAGGAAAAACCACAAGTTTGTCTTGGGAGAGGCCGGCATTCGGGGATTTTAACCATTATTTCTATATTTTATTAGATAAAAGAGTATCAAATGGATTTTCAGATATCCTGGTGGTAAAGCATATAAAGTGGACTGAAAATCCATGGTGGGGTAAGACAACTACATTAATTTGTAATGTTGACATAAAAAAATCAATGGTCAATCTTGGTGGGGTAGGAAATTGGGAAAGGGGGTTAAGGATTTGGAAGTAAGTTATATTTTAGAAATTGTATTAGAAGAAAGTTAAAAAATGTGTAGCATACCTCTGCGACTCCAAAGTCAGAAATCTTTAGCGTTCGGTCAGTCGTCAATAAAAGGTTACTAGGTTTAATATTTAGTCATTGTTAAGAAAAAATAAAATGAATGACAAAAACTTCAAAGATTTTCACAAAAATGATTCCAAAACTGCTGGAATTTGGTGGAATAAGAAATCTGCCATATCTTAAAAAAATTAGAGCATGGTAAGGTCAAACAAAAAAATAAGTGTGTTTCCTGTTGCATGAGAAAAATAATTGGGGTTGGTTGGTCGGATTTTTTTTACTGATACAACAGTGGAAATGAGCTTACTGGGAACCCTGTGGTGCATTTGGGAATGAAAAAATATTAGGGTCGGCATAAATCGGCAAGAAAAATAGGGTCGGTCGCACAACAGGAAACACACTTATTTTTCGTTTGGCCTAAACTCTGAGTGCACTAAAAACTAGTTTTCATTTTTGAGCAAACACTATCATGTGTTCTAGTGTCAGTCCTTGAAACTAGATCTAAATCTTTCATCTCAACCGGCTGCCCACCACTACAGATATAAAAAGTAACAAAACAACACAGGGGCAGACATGGTGGGGGGGGGGGGGGTGGTAATGTTAACCCTCTTAACAGCTAATTAAATCATCTTGATTTTATCAAACCCTTTAGAGAACAAGACGTATGAACCCCATAATTAGAAGTTAGAATCATCTTGTTTTTGTTCGGTTCACTGGTTAAATTCCCGTCCTCCGCCCCCTCCCCCCTTCCTAGTGAAAATCCTGGAAAGATATTAAGCAGATAAGACAGGAATGTTTAGTATCTTGAAACCATCTTTCTCTGTCTAAAAATATAGACTACCACCAAATAGAAATAAAAAGTAGCAAAACAACAAGATAAAAGATAAGCAGATAAGAGGAAAATAATCATTATCTAACCATCTCTCAGCCTGTCTAAAAATCCAGACAGTACATTCAAGTTATTTTTTTCTTGTTATTTTTTAATGTGGGAGCTATTATTCTCCTCGGTTGATCCTATTATATTGAAAAAAGCTACTAATAATGTTAAAGGATATCTTTGTGAACAATTCCCTGACTGTGTAGATATTCTAAGCCTGTAATCAATTGATGAAAGTACCTGAAAAAGGGATAAATGCTATTTTAGAATATAAAGAAGGGTAAAATCCTGCACTGGTCAAAAATTGGGGGATCCACTATATAAGAACTTATTTTATTATATAATTACCAATGAAATATCTATTTTTCTCTATTTCGAAAAATTGATATCTTCACACGTGAAAATAACATGTTATTTTCAGGTGTGAAAATAACACCATTGCGATGGCTATTCAAAAATACATGGAAAGAATTGCCTGAAAAAGCCAAAACATACTTCATTGATAATTATATAATAAACAGAATATTACATGGGTGCTTGGAGATACGAAATTTATCTTCTCGTGTTGAAAATCTCTCACTTGTTCGCTGCGCTCACTTGTGAGAGATCTTTTCAACACTCGAAGATAAATTTCGTATCTCCGCGCGCCCATGTAATATCCTCTATATATGTAATCAGTCAGTGTTTAGGAGAGCTGTAGCTGTGTTACAGACTGTCTATTTGTTAGCCATTCTGAAGTTGAAAAATAACAACCTGGGTCAAGTGAGACATTGCAGTGCATTTTGGACTGGGGACAAAATAGATGCATTTCAAAAATGTCCCCTAAACCATCCCACAATGCATTGCAATGCCAACTCGATCCAGTCTTATCCACTACATTGGATTGGCTGATAATAATAATAATAATAATGGTCCTTTTATATTTTTATGTAAAGATATATACAAAAATTATGTAGAAATTCAAATTGTAAAGAAAAGGGAATTAGAATGAAGAAAATAGAAAGAAAACAAGTAAAACAAACAAAAAATAAACCCTTTTCTAAGTGGTTTATCACTTACCCATGGGCTTGAGGTATAGGAAATTTATGATCATCTACACTTTCAAGCATTTCCTGTAGCTCTCCCACACAGTACTCCATTATCATGTATGTAAACAAGGTTAAGAAATGATACCATCATTGTAATCCTATGTATATCATACGACTGAAAAAATATCCTTTTAGAGAGACAAATATTTCTGTTATCATAGTAACAATTTTGGCATTAATGACTCATAGCTCATGCAGTCATTTATCAGTTTTATTTCAAAATTAATTTGCCAATTGCTAATTTTTTTGTTCCTTATCATAGCTGAGGAGAATGTGCTGCCTTTGCAATTACATCTAAAAATGGTTAGACCTTAAAGTCTTCTTGGAAAAGGATGTTAAGCTATAGGACCTATCTCCCAACCCATTCTAAATCAGTTTTTGGGGAACACTACTAATTTATACTAATCATTTCTCATAATTGTAAGCTACACGGCAACCTGTAAAGAAAGATCGAGTTACATGCACTATTTAAGAACTTAAGAATTTAAGTATAATTTCTTTATCTAAGTCCCATTATCTGTCAGCTGGCATGGCATAAGTATAATTTCTTTATCTAACTCTTGATCTCACTTTAAGGTAATATTCAAGACGTATTTCAAAAATGCATGCAAAAATGAAAATTTGTTTATCATACGAAGCTAACTCCTTGAAATCATTTTTCACCAAATTATATATCAAAATCTTCAGTTCACTACTCAAGTGATTAAACAGGAATTTGCACCAAAGTATGTTGTTTATTTTTTAAATTATTTTCCCCATTGCTATTAAAAATGATGTAGAAATATAAGAGGAGGAAAATCTGAAATATTTAGTATCAGCTAGTGATTGGTAGAAAGATAAGTGCTTGTTAGGAATGTCTATTGTTATAAAATGGATTATGGAAACAAAAGATATCAAATTTTCAGAATTTCATTTCTGTCATGAATATATTAATTTTTGAAAGAAAAAAAAAAGCAAGAAAATAAAACAAAACCTCAAAATTCCTAACAAATAATTTATTCTTTATTCTATCGAAGGATTACTTCTCTTGGGAAAAATAGGAAACTGTATTTGAATTTATTTTGAGAGCTTGTCAAGTTAAGTTGATGGTTAGCACATCTCAATATTTTTACTTTGTCATTTGAGTATTTGATTTATCTCTTTACATTATGCAAATATTTCTAAGTACTTTCATAATATTTGTTGAAAAAATGGAATTTAAATCTAGCAGATTTTGATATTTCTTTTATAGTAAAAAGTTATTTTCCTATAACTTATTTTTTTTAGGTCACATAACTTATTTCGCACATTTCGTCGTTACGACTGCAGGAGCTATAAATCAAAACAAATATTAAATGACACAGGATTCCATTATATAATACATAGAATAAAGGATATATTTTTTGCTTTTCCTCATTATATATTACATCGTACAACTGGATCACATTTTTGTGGTGCAACCGTTTCAGCAACTGAATTTCCCTGAAGCAAAAACATCAAAATATATTATATCAAAATAGCCCTAAACGTGCATCAAAATATTCATGATTAAATAAAGAGTTGTCGGACTTTATGTTTTACAGTGAAAAACTCTCTCACCTTTTTACATTTAGTTCTCCATTTGGTATTCTTCTCAACCTTCGTCTTGTAAGAATTTTGACAGCACATCGTCTTAAATTTTCGCAATCAAGCATTTCTTTAACTTTTCCATAAGCGCCTTCTCCGAGCACATCTCCCATTAAATACTTCCCTATCTTCTTGGCTCGTTTAGCTTTAGGAGAATAGATAATTTGGTCTGAGTCAATTCTATGGAATAAAATAGTAGGATCATCGTCAAGCCACGGGTGCTGCAGTTGATGATCAACGTCGTTCTCATGTACAATTTCCTCCACGCTGGCCCCCATAATGAACTTCGGTGGAGTTCGGCTGCCTCCAACCATATTGTCCACCATTTGGCGACAATGGCATGGAGACAGAACACATTCAAAGTGGTTTTTAGTAGCTTAAAGTGGAGAAGTTTTGTGCACTCCACCTCTTCTCCAAACAACACTAACATCCGCCATTTTGATTTGCGTCACTGAGGACGTCGTGACATCACACAGATCACGTGACGGGGAATATGGTGTTGAACTCAGTCCCCTTGGAATAATCTGCTCGATACACCACAGGGAACCCGGCTTAAATGGTAAAGGGTAGAAGATTTTCATTTTCATAAATGTTCAGTCCTTATGTTCAGTCTTCCGTTTTACTAACAAGGCCGCTTACCAAAAAATCGTAGCGAAAGGAAGGGGGGGGGGGGGCGGAGCTCGTGCCCCCCCAAATTTTTAATTAAAAAAAAAACAAAAACAAAAACAAAAACAAAAAACAAAACACATTAAACCAAAACGAAAGAGGAAAATAAATTATTGCAACCTATTAAAGTGCGCTGTATAAATCAGTTTATACGAATACGAATTTGTTTCTTTTTCGTTTGTGCGTTTATTTGTGCTATGGGGGGAGGAGTAATTTTTTGGGGGGGTCAGTGCTCCCCCAGCTCCTAGGTCCTCGCTACGCCCCTGCCAGTGCATCTTGTTTATAAAGTTTTTTTTCTATTAAAAACAGATAACAATTTAACGACAATATCAAGAAATGGGTTTATTTGTTTGAAAAACAATCTTCTTTAAATTCCTTTGTTTTATATTAAAATGCTTTCACAAATGTACAGCACACAAGAAAATAAGTTTTGAACAATAAATACATTCAATATGTACAATTTTTAATAAATTATTGATAACCATTAATGCTAAGAAAGCTAAGGAATGTATCTTGCAAACCTTACCAGGGAAATATCTAAACTTCTCTTACTGAGAAAGGTTTATACAAATGATTACAGCTGCTCTCAAAAACTGGATCAGAATCATACCATTTGACGTAGGCACGTCAATCAAAGCCTTTCCATGAAATTCTTTAGGCACATTCTTTAGACAAAATTATGGAAACACTTATTGACGTCCACCACAACATAGGTTGTCATGTTGATAATTCTGCGTGTTTTACTGACGAGTGAAATACCCTTTAGTGTTTTAAAAAACTGAGTATTCATGTGCATGTGAGAGAGAGGGGTATTTTTAATAATCATTAATACAGATACATCCAGCTGCATCAAAAAACTCCCCTACGCAGGCAAAACAAGAGCTTAACGATCACTCTAAAATTGTTCAATTGTGCCAAGTCTAAAAAACAATAGAAAAATAATTCATTTTTCTTTCCTAACCTTGGGCATGTTAGGAAACTGTTATAAACAACTGTTCCAAGTTAAGGCTGCGTGTGACCTATTTGACATCTCTCGCAGCCTCATCTTGGAGATTTGAACACAAGCACGATCCCAAAAACTTCCTATTAATTTGCACTATCCCTACATTCAACAATCATCCTGCGAAATCGTGTAGCAGAGCTAGGTCGCTGTACTTGTGGCTTAGCAGAACTTGGTGGAGAAGGAACAATATTCCTGTTAGATGCAGAGCCAGGTGGTGATGGGGACAATTTCTGGCTACAACATCCTCCTCCTGTAGAAATGGTGAATGTTCTGTTTGGCAGAGAGGTTTTGGTTTTTCGTTCTGGAGGAGATGTTGGTGGCTTGGGAATGTTTGGTTTGGTGGGTAATGCCCTGTTTCTGTTATACTCTAGAGAGTGCTCATCCAAGGAATGTTGCTTGAAGACAACTGGTTTACCTTTGTTTAAAGATCTAGAAATAAAAAGTAAATAAACATTTATAAATCAAAACTAGAAATACAATAAGCCTGAAGCAAGATGACGTTTTACCCCCGTCTCTAGACCATAATCCTTTTCACGCTGCTTTTGTTCTTTAATTATGACTATTGTTCCTGTATTCTCTAAGGAATCAAAAATTTTAATATGAAAGAATTTTAAAAACTATTATGGTCTAGAGACGGGGGTAAAACGTCATCTCGCTTCAGGCTTATTGTCACATCTTCTCAGCAGGCATCCTTTATAGAGCTAATAGTCATTCCAACGTATAACCTAATTTAAGTATAATGCTATAACAATCAACCAGTGTTGCACAACAGACTAAAAACACTGACATGTGACTCATGACAGGCATGCTCACCCCCCCCTCACCCTCAGGGGTCAAATATTAACTTACACCTTAACAATCATATCACCTATGTTGGATAGGAAATACAATTATGATACTCTCAATTAAGTGGACCCCTTTTTAAGCGAACAGTCCCTTTATTAAAAATTAATAGACAGTTGCATGTTTTCTAAAATTTTCTTTCCATATTATATTTACAGTAAAACAAACATCTATTCATTTTACTTACTTTGTAGTAGTTGGGATTTTGTTGTTGTTCAGGATTTCTTTTTCCAGTTTAGTTCCCAATTCCCTTAAATCTGAAAAATTAGTCGAAAGATATGGTCATATACTACAAGAAAGATAATTTTCAAAACAATCACTTTAGTGGGTAACTTTTGTTTACCTTTTAGAGAGGGTTCTGGGTCAGGTGTAGATAGCACTTGCTGCCGATAGTCTGACTCCTCAAACAAGCAATCCTAATAAAGAAAAATGTTTGATGGCTATACAATTGTGCTGAAGATTTAAAAAAATAAAATAAAATATAGAAGAAAAAAAGCATTTGATTTTACAATCCCATTTTCTTCACACACTGCAAAGTTTGCTGAATGCAAACAGATAGTATGATTCAACAACCATTCACAAATCAATTAGGCATAGTTCTCTACCAATCAGAGCATACATACTATATGATTCATAATAATTATTTATAATATTGAAATGATCTATAGACTGTACCTGTAGGAATGCTATATCATCATTTAGTCTATTCTTTTCATCTACAAACAAGCCCCTATAACAGAAAACAGAAACTATTTATCAATTTTATTGATCTCCCTCATGCATTTGGAATGTAATGACAATATCTGGAAGTACATATACAGTAAAAGAATGGATTTACAAGAAGTCCTCATGGTTCATTATAACATACCTAAGGTGTTCAACAATTCTATCAATTTCCAAAGCATTAAGGCTTTCATTCATGGACTCCAGTTGATTGCTCACTGAAGATGCACAGCTGTACAAAAGAAAAATGAATATAATTTTTCAAATCTTTTTGTTCATTTTTATTATATTTTTATTATATTTTTATGTAGTAGATGTCAAGAGGATGCCCTTAAAGGTAAAAAGGGACTGTACAACAGAGATGCATACAAGTCATATATACTATATTTAGCATGATCACAGACATAGTTCATAAAATGAATACCCTTAAAACATTGGTTAGACAATGGACATGTCTGGCTGGAACTAGGACCTGTCCTACCAAATCTTTGCCTTGCTGGTCATTTTGACCAGTAACATTTAGCCAGAAATAAGGTATGACTAAGCTAAAACTAATTATTTAGCCTGTGATCACATGACCAGTGACTGATTGGCTGTTATTTAAAGCCCTGAGATGATCCAACATATTTTTAGATGCATGCTATTAATATACAATAACAGTTAATGGCTATATATCATGTAATTAACTAATTTAATGGCATTTATAAAATAATGACACACATAGGTCCTGGAATACATGGTTTGTTTCTTAATAAAATACTGTACCTGCTTGCATCACTTCTTGGTGTGACCCTTAATGGAGTCTGCCGCCCACTTGAAGAGCTCATAGCAGTGGATGGTCTACTGGATGCCGTAGACGGTCGCTGACTTTGTGAGGAATTACCTAGTTTACAAAATTGATGATCATCAGGAGTCTTAATTCACAAATGTTGAAAATATTAAATAAGAAGCACTTACTTCTTGTCTCCAAAACATAATCAACAATGCTTTCATCTTTGTGATTAAGGATTTTGGATACTTGACTGGAAAAAAAAACAGTTAACCTTATAGGCTGTGATCTTAAGTCAGTCTCTTGCATTTAAATGGGTTGTCAGTCATCAAATACTTGATAGAAGGAAGGATATCTTTATACATTATGTAGTTCCAGAAAATATCCATACCTCCACCACGAAGGAAATTTGTAATAGGAGCCCCCTTCCCCCAGGAACTTCCAATTTTCTTCCATACAAACTCTGTAATTTTGTTCATTCTATGACACCCCTTCCCTACAGAATGTCCAATTTCCTCCGTGGGTGGGGTATGGATATTTTCTGGGACTACACAATAACTATTGTTTAGGGATGGGAAGGAAGCATAGTAGAGGGATGTGAAATGGAGTAATGTGGAATAGAAAGAAAAAGAAGGGGTGTAAATGGAAGAGAAAAAATAAGATGGGAGGGAAGTAAAAGGGCTAGTAGGAAAGGAACAAAGTGGGAGGGAGGGAAGTAGTAAATGGAAATTGGAAGGGAAGAAAGTAGACACAAATTCAATATCTTTGTTGTTATCTTAATAAAATGTTTGGTATTCTATAGAATACCTCTCCTTCATTCTCCTACCTGCCATTGTTTTTCTGTTGCAGCATTTCGACAAACATCATTATTTCTTTCTTGAGATTTTCTCTCATCATGGGAGGTTCTGGTAATGAGCTGAGATGTCTATTAAGTGCCAAGTCTGTAAGTAAATAGACATGACAGTCAAAATAAAAGTTTTCTGTTAGGAAAGGCGCATTTTATTTTAAAGTTAAGCTTACTTTTTTCTTCTTTTTCAGTTTCATCACGATAATCCCTCCAAATATCAAGCAAGGATGTAGCCTATGAGAAATTACAACTTTAAAATAATATTCAACACGGACTTAAGGGTAATTTTGGGGGGCATGATATAATGGTATAAGAAGAAAACAGAACTTGTACATAAAAATGAAAGTTTATACTTAGAGTTAGTTAATGTGTCCAAGCAAAAAATCCTACCTCTTCATGGAGTACTATCGTTTCATCTATTAAACCTTCTCCTATAACTTCCTTTATTTCGGGCCGTTCAGGTTCGGCTACAAATTCTTCAATTAATCTCCAAAGAGACGGCTGAATGTCGAACTCTTCCAGTGACCATTCCATAGGTGCTGGTTGACTGCTCATAATAGGCTTTAATTCTCCCCCAAAAAACAACTTGAATTTAACTCAATCTATTTACATTTTATGAAGGCATGACCTGCAAAAACACCCTTGATAATCATGTCTATTTTTTTAAAGGCTTTCAGATGTCTTTACAGCTTGAAATTCAGAGAAAATGTCAGAAAAATGTCTGACTAAACTCGTTGTTTCGTTGTCAACATGAACGCCATCTTTGTTGCTACAGCTGTGATGCCGCTCCTCCTGCATGGATGATGGGAGACTAATGACAACAGGACGCTCCTGAAGCGTGCACTGGGTCGCCTAAGTGCTGGTATGCTTGAGCTTATTTATGTACCGCTAGTTTGGGAGGAGGGGGTACTTTGGAACATTTTAGGTGTATTTTTCTTTTAAAACTTCCAAACACTTATTTTTTCTCACATCAAACATGTTTTCATGACATTCTATAGGCACGTGCCCTTATAGCTTTGCGTTTTCCGACAATGTTATGGAAACACCTTGTGATTCACGTCCACCAAAACCTTCTTCGTCGCGACCGAAACAATCGCAAGAGGCCGCGCGTGTGATTGAGAATGACTGTTACATTTACAAAATCTGTCATCGGAGTCGGTTTTGCGGTATATATCGTTTAGTTTCTAGACAGGAACTGTACAGAGAGACCCCAACCAAAACATACACATTAGGGATGAACCATTAGATAATTCACGGTCACCAAAAAGTTCGGACATCGTTCTCGGATTTCCATACAAATTCACTGACTTTAAAGAGAAAATTTAGGTGTGTTTGCGGGAATTTATGTCGCATGATAATTTTTTTTGTAACAACCCCTGAACGTAATGTTTTTGTTTTGTTTGTGCACAGTTTTTTCGTACGTGAAGTGCTTGCTCGATATTTTTTGCGACTTACGCAACCCCCTCCTCAATACTAATCTAATGGTCCGTCCCAGATCTTGATTGATGCTAGAACTTTGTATAACTGTATCTGTATCACTGATGAAGCCCAGTATTAACAGGCCTCAGAAAAATGCACTATCCAATCTAATGCGGCGCAAGGAGCACGGAATGCGGAAGCCCAAGATCCTCAAAAATAACAACGACGACAACAATAACAACAAAAAAAGATAAATAAAATTACGAAAGAGAGATATGAGATATGAGATATGAAAACAACTGCATATCATAGCGGTTCGGGGCATATTCTTTATATACCAATAAGTTATGAATGGCAAAATTTAATCATACTTTGAATTCCGGCTATAAAGACTACTTAAAATGAAGTTTTCAATCAGTCTGTCAGAGAGACTTTGTCAGAGAGCTGAATTGGCGCGCTTTTATTTGGTACCCAGAGCCCTCATTTCTTACGCATGATTGAGGAAATAAACCGCAGTAACGAATAAGACACTGGGTACGAGATTGCGCTCTCTTCCTTTCATCTGGTATCCAAGCGCATTCGCAGCCCCATAAAGTACTTTTTTTATTTCAAAAGTCAAACACTTCCGATAACGAAAATGTTCTCTCCAAAACATGTCAGAGTCAACGAAAACGGTCAGAGAAGATAAGAAAGTGGTTGTAAGTGCCTGTCAATCAGACGTTCCTGTTATGTCAGCTGACGCTGATCTCTTCCTAAAACAAACAGCAAAACTGTAGCCTAAATGAATATATTACGACATAACGACATGCATTTTTAATAGTGTAAATTAATCTAATTCCGTTCGTTGAGAATCTTCTTGTTAGCGAATTTAAAATATGGGCTTTAAATTTTGTTTGCGTGGGAGAAAGAGACTGAATTAATAAGAGAGAGAGAGAGAGAGAGAGAGAGAGAGAACGTGGAGGAACTGTAACTTCCCAAGATAAATATTTCTTGTTTCGTGCGTGGTTGTTCACGGAAACTATATGACTCAAGCTCTTGAACTTCACATTATTCTTAGAACCAAAACAGTTAAAACAAAGAGAGCGGCGACTACGCATTTATTTTCTAGTTCATTCTTTTAATAACTAGAGACTTGAAAAGTTCATTAAATGTGGAAATAAAACGCTAGGGCTAAGAGAAAATTACTCTATCACCAAGTACTTAGTGAAAAACAATTGATCATTTTGACATATTTTAATTTCTTTATCTCACCCTATTTACTCTGAACCCATTTCATTTTTCACAAAACAAATATACGACATTTGTTTTATTGATAACGCTAGATTCGCTCTTTATGTTTTATGCAAATTAAAACGGAAAACTGAAACGCCAAAATATTTTTTTCTCAGAGTAAAATAAATACTTCTGAAAATTAGAAAACAAAACTTAAAAAATTATAGCGTTGACTCCCTTAAAATCAGTAATTATTCCTTGGAGCGAAACGAAGTACATTATCTATACATTATCTACTGCTCATTTATGATTTCCACTCTAGTTTCAGTTCTTTAGCAATTGTTGTTTTTTTCCACGAGAGAGATCACAAGAGGTACCTTAAAGTTGAACCCACAATTCTAATTGGTTGTTTTAGAACTATTGATCGCTTGAATAAAAAATCTACTTAAGATTACGATTATTTTCTAGAAGCTATTCAAAGTAGACACCATATACCGTAGCTACTGCAAATATCGAATTATTCTTGAACTCAAAAGAGGCATACGTATCGACATTTGTATCCCATAAACAGCGGCTTCCAATCCTCAATGCCTGCTTGCCTAACTGTCCTATGTGCACCAAACAAATGATCTTATATCTCTGAATGTTCATTTCCTTGACTCGCAGTCTTAGGTTATCAGAAATACTCTTTGTAAGCTGTCGACAAGTATTTGGGTCGTAGTTGACTTCGGCGAGATTTTCCATTAAAACTTCCTTTAAAATGTTCCTCACGCTTCCTTCAGGGAATTTTTTACTTGGCGACATGCGATAGGTGTTTTCCAGCTGTAATTCAGGGGCTTTTCCTGCTCTTGAGTAAGGTGTAGCAGCCGATTGAGCCATGGAAATCGAGCTCTGAGGCCTCGTTGGTGCTGGTCTCAAGCTACTTGGTGTCGGTTCTCCCCGCTTCTTTAGGTTCTTGGAGGCTTTATCAACTTTGCTATCCCTTCTCGAACCCAATTCTCGATTTTCCTCCATCATAGCCGTTCTTCCTTAAGATCAAATGGACTGCAGCTTCAAAAGTTATCACTGATTTTTACAGCCAATTAAAATCGGCTCTTAAGACAAAGATATAACGGATAAATTGACCAAACGCTATCTACCTCTAAGCGAAAAGATCACTTTCAAGTACTAGGCCTTGTCTAAGATCCTCTAGTGGCCTCCTAATGGTTTCTGTAAATGGCGCAAATACAGTCTAACAGAACACTTAGATTTGTTGAGTACTTAGTTGTTATAGAGACAGACTCATAAAAGGACAAAAAGACGTACCATCACGTCCAATCGGCTCCGAAAAGAGATTACAATTGATCCTGCAAACAATTACTGCAGATACGCTCTCTGCGTCAAATGAGAGGCAATCTATGATAGTTGAGCTCTTTTGTTTCTTTGTTTGTCTTGGTATCACTTATAATCTCAGTAACTGTTTATGACAAAAGTCTTAGCTGCACTTAGAATTAACTTGGTGAGCCATAACTTAGTTTTGTAATCAACGATTTTTTCATAATAAAAATCCTTACTGCGAAGCCAAATTTTTCCATCCAAAATTTGGGGAAAATGAAAATATATCGCCAAATGCAAAATTACAACTTTATTAACCCATAGGAATAAGATAAACACAAGGTAAAAGATAATAAATACAAAACAAATAAAAGAGGAAGCACTAAACAAACTGATAAAAGACAAGAAAATAAATTGACTTGTCAAAAGCTAGAAGTTTAAAAATCAACACGTGCAAAAATTAAAATTCAATGTTGAAGTTCCGTGAGTTTTTCCGACGCTTCTTTCACTGGTTTTCCCAACCAGACATTTCGATAAGTCTCGCACTTAATTAAAGTCGGCAAAATTAAGACCTCAATTCAGTTCAGTATGTATTTATTTATTAACTTTAAACAATTGTCAAATAAATTTAAAACAATTTTATAAAAGATATCTTTGCATAAGCTTAGACATAATATATTTGAGCAAAACGACCAGCATTTTAAAATTTATACTTAGACTACAGTATAGACTACAGTGTAAGGTCAAACGTCGAACTTAACATGAGCCAAACCTAACGATATCAAAGATAACCGCCTTATTACCCATTGTTTCAGTTAGGTTCGGCTCATATGTGAAGTTCGACGTTTGACCTGAGCCTTACTAGGCTAATTCTACCTCTGAATTGGGTTTAGCGAAAACTGTCCAAAGATTTGAGGAAAATCTATCGATAAGGGAGGGGAGGGAAAGGCAGGATTTGCGCTCTATCATGTCTCCTCGTCGTCTTTGATCTGTCTTAAAGGACAACTGACCCCAAAAATTGCCGTTTTTCATATAAAACTACAACGTACATAGATCACATAAATTCAACTTTGAACTCTGATACAG